AGGTGGAGCTCTTGTAAGGAAAATGTGGATCATATTGCTGGCTCTGATGTATTAACATGAATAGCTCGCAGTATATAGAGTGCAACACAATCAAGCCTGAAAGCAAGGAGAGAATAAATGGACTTTAGGGCAGTAACTGTTCCAATAAAGTGGAAGTGATCAGAATATCCAAATTATGTAAATGCAATGGTACCTTTTAAATAATAACTCAAAGTAACTGCTCTTGGTGGATTATAGTGCTTTACTACTTCCATTTGCTTGATACAAGTTCATGACTGTTTTGGTGACTTGCCACTTGCCTTACTCACTACAGATGGATGGAACCTCCTTCACCATGACATTTTTTGGTGAGGGTTACAGTGAGGGGCAAGATCCGCAGAATGGCAAACCAAATGTAAAGATCTGCACTCAAGTGAAGGGACCAGGTATGTATGTTAGCAGCTAACTGCTTTTGGCTCACATTTCCTCATGTGATAAAGGTGTGTGGTTCCACTACCATCCCTTCGCCCTTGCAAAGCGCTTGCAACGTGCACTAAGTCAACAGTATTTACAGAGTATGATCTTGGATACCAGCATTCATTTTAACCTGCTTTTTGAAAAAGCTAACTGTGTTTTGTGCTTGACATTCTCTTTTCTTGTGCCTGTCATCATACCAATTCTCATTTTTGCCAGAGTAGAATAGTAAAGGGAGAGTGACTTAAGGGTGGTTCGTAGAACCTGGGTTACTACACACTTATTTCCAGTCCCCTGTGAGTGAACCTAAAATCCATATGTTGTATGGTGTTATTTTTAGCTGTACATATTAGTGTTCAGGCCATTCCTGAAATGAAGTTTTGGAGACAGCAACAATGTACATTTAGAAGGGAGTTAGCTAACCACTATTACTTTAAACAACAAAATATGTAGCTGACTGCAAATAGTGTTACATCAAAAGGTCTGAATTTAAGCACAGAATGGGTTGGCTCATGCTAAAATGTAGGGCCCTCCAGCACTCCAGAGGTGACACTCAAGGTTCTCATGTGATCACAGGCCTGTAGCTGAAGCTGGTACTTGTCCACATTAGTTCTACAGGACTCTCAAAGCTACTCTGAATGAATACCAGGTAACAAACTTGTTCTTAAACAGAGATATCAGTTTAGATTGGCAGAGAGATTATCTTCAGCATTCCATATATAAGAGCGAGATTAGAAATGTGAATCAGTGTTTCAACGCGCTGGTTTTTGGTTTTCATTAGAGCCTGGCTATGTTGCTACACCAATTGCAATGGTTCAAGCAGCTGTTGCTCTTCTGGAAGATTCGGCTCATCTGCCTAAAGCGTGAGTACTTTGAAGAACAGCTTGATTTCCCTTACAGCTCCTCTCTTTGATAGAACAGATTCTCTATTACTCTGTGGATTGCTTTGTCACCTCACCCAAAGGGCAGTGGTATTAAACACGATCCTTGCTAGACAATGGAGATGGTTCTTCTTTTGCATTTCAATTTGAAAAGATGAGTTGGAGTTGTAGTAACATTTTTGCCACACCATTGATCCAGACTCTCTATTTTCAGTCAAGGAATAATTTCTGTGAGTTTGGTGGATGCGTAAACGAACCTCTAAATATAACAAGCTTGCCCGATTCCTCCTGTACTCCCTCCTGGACAAAATGGCTTTTCCCTTCCTAGATAGGGAAGCACATTTCAAGTAAAGGTGTTGCTGAGCCACTCCACCACTAATGGTTTTTCTCTTTTGACTGTTGTTAACAGAGGTGGTGTGTATTCTCCAGGAGCTGCCTTCTCTAAAACGAAACTGATTGATCGCCTCAGCAAACGTGGTGTTGAGTTCTCTGTTATTAGCCAGCCAGAAGTCTGACATCAAAACAGCCGTGTGACCTAACATCTTACCTGCACCCCATTCCAATAAAGCTCATTGGGCTGTAAAAGCCTCCTCATAAAATAGTTGCATGATTCTGCTGTAAACAACAGCAACAGGTGAAAATTTGAGTTTAAAATTGTGATGTGAGAAAACACACAAAGGATACTGACTTAATTCACGAACATATCAAATCAGTGATTTATTAGGTACTAGAACTTTGTTTAATGTCTTTCACCTTAAGTTGCAGAACAGCAGCCTCAGTTACTGCTTAATTCATTCTGCTTCACAATTAACCACAGTCTTCTCGTCCCAACTATTTAAAGCAGGCAGGCCCTGGCTATCAAGTGCCTTAGCAGAGGAAACTGCTAGTTACTCCTCATGTCTGTTTGGGATAGGCACTATTAGTTTGTGGTGTTACTACTTTGAAAGCCTTACTACCCATAGTCAAATAAAAGTAGTTTTTCTCCTCAGGTTTGAGGAATAGAATTGTCTTTTTGCTGTATTATTCTAAAGATCTGTACTGCTGTCTTAAGGTTTGTTGACTTTTCAGCCTTACTAGCTTGCTGTACTAAAAAACAGAAAGCACAAAGTTTGTCAGTATAGTGAGCTGAAGACCAATTACAATTTCAACTGACAAGTCATTCTAGAAGAACGTGTGCAGTATGCAAGACAGCATCAAGAAAGATGTATTTACAGTATGACTATTTCTAGTAGTGGCCTTGTCAGTATAGTAACTGAGAAATTAAATTACTTACTCAAATTACTTAAATTGCTGGAACAACTTTCCACATTTGTTTGTAATTATTAAATTACCATTCATGAGTCTACATCTGATTCTTTGTGGTTGAATGATACATCTAGCAAAATATTTTTTTTCTAGTCTATGTACATTTAATAATACATAGCAGCATTTTTTTCCCCAGTGTTACAACATGTTGAGATCAGAGCACTGTTGCAGATGAAGTATTTCAGAAATCTTACAAGTTTTAGTCTTAGGCTGAAACAGATTTGTAACGAGTGACATCATAAGCAAACAAGCTGCCTTGACTGTGCTGTACATAGAATGCTTGAGACAGAACTTAAAGACAAACTGAAAACTCACGTGCACTTCAATGTATTCCTAGAAAGGGATCCTCAAGGTTTGCTGTATGCTGTGTATTCTCGCTTCTTCTTAACTATAAGAGCAACATCGCTTTTCAGCTTATAAACTGCAGACTCAAGTTGTTGGCCAAAATCACTTATCATTTGTGACTGTGTTTCTGTAAAAAGACGTAGTACCTGCAAATTCTCTTCCTGCTAAAACATAATAAAAGAAATTAGTTGGCTCAACTCTCATGTCATTTTTTTACTTATACACCAAAGGCTACCTGAAGGTCCCATGGGCTAACTTATGGTAACTGAGTAAAAGGGAGACAAATGGTAGGACAAACTACTACAGGTTCAAAAACTAAAATTAGGATCGTAATTACATGTTATTTTGCCAAGAATAGCATGTACCACAGCTGAAAGGATGTGCTTGGGAGTACAGCTTTGCTCTTTATCCAGGCCAGATGAATTACACCTCTCAGTCTCCTGGCAGCAACATCTAAAGGAGTAAGGTTGGACACCAGCCACTTAGATCTGAAGGGCTGTGTATTAGCTTCATAGCTAACTTTAACCTAGTGGCTATATATTTTTAATGTAGGCACAGAAGAGCTCCTGTGACTTGACAACATGTATTGTCCTTGAGATGTCCATCAAGCAGCCTTGCTCCTAGACAACCCAAAATTGAGCAGCGGGTTTTAGAAATAAATAGCCTGTAAGCATCTAATATCTTTGTTGATACACAATTTTGTTCTTCAGTTGCAGAAAAAAAAATATACCAAGATCTGAAGAAATACATGTCTGCTCTATAATTAAAGTCTCCTAGTATGAGATAAAAAACTTTGATCAGCATCTCCACAGCTGTTATACTAACAATGCACTGTGATTCTGTAAGCTGCAAATTGGGCCACAGTAAGAGGCAATAATGATCAGCTACTAACAAAAGAAACATGTTATGTGTTCTTTAATACTGTCAAGGCCTAAAGTAGTTGTTGGATTAAAGTTCAGATCATGCCACTCCTAACTCAGATGCCAGAACTATTGTGCTTACAATATTACATTGAGCAAAGTAGTACATATTGGTTTACTGTGCGTTTCATTTCTTTCCCTTCCCCCCTACAATCACATGAACAGCTTTTTCCTCAGGTAGGGTTCTAAGCCACTGGTGCTTTCTGCCCTGGGTGATAACAGTTCACAACAGTCTAAAGGCCCAAAAAGTTGTTACAAATGTTTCCTAGAGAAATGTCCTAGCCTGCGTTTATGCATGCAGATTTACAGTACTCAATACAAGCTTGCTCAAATGACTGATGGAAGTTGGGATGGCTCTCCAACTCCAAGCTGTGTTTTAGGCTAAATACTTAATGGGCCAAAGCAAACTCATGTTTAGGTGTTTCTGTTTCTGTGCAGAGAAACCTTAAGTGGTGAAAACCGTAAGATAATACACCAGTTTAGGAGATTTTCTTACCCTGCATAACTGAAGGTTATATAGAGAAGGAAAAATCAGAACAATACAGTGTTACTGGCAAGAGATGGGGCTGTTGAGAAGTAACAGGAAGAGTTACAACACTTGCTAAAAGGTCATGCTGAGAAAGCCAGTATTACACAATGAATTCCCCTTGCCAGCTTGAGTAAATAATAGCTTCGTTGTCAAGCAATCTGGAAGATTTGCTGAATAGTGAGCCAACCATGGTCGAGGAGCCAATTTGCATCATTCTGAAGCAACTTTATGAACAAGACGATGACAGCATAACAGCCCTAAAGCACTGAGTAGATACACAACACGCTTGGTTACAGCACAGCTTCCTTGGTAGGCAAACAGTTCTGTAGCAACATGCCCATTTGAGTTTGTTCAGCTCTCTTGGTTTTAACCTGCAAGTCAAGACTACAGAGTCTGCAGGCCTAGACAGTACCTCTGGTCCTGTTCAAAACACATGGAAACAACGAGTTTCTCTCCAGAGTAGGAAGCCTACTGTAGCACTACCTCAACAATCCTGCAACTCTGTGATACCTTCATTTTCAAATTCCTGAAGTTTTTAAGACAAAATTCTTTAGAATTGAAGAACAGCCTCAGATGCTTAAACTATTGCAATAAACGGACTTACTGATGGCCTGGAATGCTTCAGCTGAAGGAACTGCTGTCTGACTACACTCATGTTTTGATAGAAGGTCTTAAGGGCCTTGGCAAGTTCTGCATCACAGCTGGTCCGATGGCTGCACATCTCTTCAGCATCTCTTGACGACTCAGACTGCTTCATCACCTTAATCACCTTGGTAGGTGACTCAGATTTCTTCTCTAAAATAGAAAAGATTACATTTTATTAATAAACTAAAAGTGATAAATCAGTTCTGAATTTATTGCCATTGAAAGTAGCAAGCTAATTTCCTTTGTCAGAGGAAAAGGAATGCCAGTGAGATATCAATTAACTTTCTGTACAGTCTACGTTCTGGAGCAGTGCGGGTAAGGAAGAACTGTAGCAAAAGCATGCAATACTGAGACAGTTTGTGATGGGCACTGACTTTCATGATGTCCCACGTCCCATTTCTTCAGTTTGTCTTTCAGAAGAGCATTTTCTTCTCTTAAAGCTCTGTTGAGCTCCCTCAGCAGCTCTGTCTCTTGTTCCATCTGCAGCAGTTTCCGGTAGAGTTCAGGCACTTCCATAGCTGCATCCTGTGGTGGTGTTTTTTTGTTTAGAAAACTGCAGTTCAATTAATTATCACCAAATCTTTATTCATTCTGTCTATCAAAAGTACTTGTATGTAGATAAGTGGATGTTCCAATGGGGTAATGGAATGTTCTTCAGGATACTGAATTTTGAAAACAAATTTTTCAGTGGCTTCAGATGGACATTTTTTCCTTCACTAGTTTTATTAATCCTTTAAATAAACATTCATTTATTATTTCTCCAACTGAAAAGTCAATGTTTGATGTCCTGTTGTCGTAGAATTTCACTAGCAAAAAAGCAGCAAAAGAATTTCTGCAACTACTAGGGTAACTTAGCTTTATCATCTCTTTCTGAATGTCTGTATGTATTTACATATATAAATACATCTGTATTTATACACAAAGAAATACAAATACATAAAAAATACATAACAATGCACTGTGGTGCTCCAGCAAATGTGTACTGAGCAGCTCAGCTGTGTAGTAACTCTCAGCCCCCTGCCAGGCTCTGTCAGCCCAAACAGTGCTCTAGAGTGGTACACCAGGAACACTCAGCATGTATAACAGAGCACTGTGCTCTGCTCAATCAGATGCATCCCTGCAGCCCCTGCTTGTTGCATATTCCCATTAAAATCAAGTGGGCTTCTCAGAAAGTGGTGTCAATAAGTACACTTACCAGACCAGCATGGCTTGCAGTCAAATCTTTGGGATTATCAATCACAACGGTGCCCTCAGCTGTGAGCAAAAGGCCATCAAGTGAGGAGTCCATCTCCATGCAACCTTCTGCAGCAGAGTAAAGACAGCTCGCTCAGGGCTCAGCCAGCACATGTTCTCTGCTGCTGGTGCCCTTACTGAACATTGTGTGCAATATTTAAGGTGGAAATAAAAAGTCTCCTCTTAAGCTCTGAATTCACGACAGAGAGCCTCTTCCTTAAAACTTCAACCAAGCTGGAGGTCAGCATCCTCATTTTAAAATGAAATCAGGAAGTCACTAACCATTTTTCATATCCCAAATTAATATTTTACTGAAAAGTGCAAATAACTGAGCTGTTCATCCACCAAACAAACAGTTCTGCATCCATAATTATGGACAGCATGGTCTGATTCTATCTCCAAACCATCACTGAATATGAAATACATAACGTACAACTTACAAAAGTGAAAATTTTGGAAAGAAATACCTTGGAGGCCCCATAAATCAACAATTAAAGCATTTTTCTGTAAATAATTCAGAAATTCATAGGAAGCTTTTAGAGCTGAGAAATGGACTGTTTCTTCTATCTTCGGATTGATGCTTTCCCAGACAGGCTTTGTGTATAAGCACCGGGGAAGATCATAAACTCTATACCTAAAGACATAAAATGCAAGCATAAAAAAAATTAATTAAAACCCAATTTGGTCTCTGAAAAGGCCAGCTATTAAAACAGACACAGAAGTTGAGCAGCAACAATTACTGTAGCATTTCAAGGTCAGCTCTTCTTTCCTGCTTAATAAAGTGCCCTGTGCAGTCATTCAGCACCCACAGGACATGTGGAAATATCACCGTACTTTATTAATGTTCAGTACTTATTGTGTTGACAGGAGCAGCGTGGCACGCTGTCAAAAAAAATGCACAAAAGCTTTAAAATATTCATAACTCCTTTGTTTGCTCTGAGACCTCCAGCTTTCTGCCCATTCTATTCAGTAATCCATGGGGCATTTCTCCAGCTCCACCCCAGCCATTTCTCTGTGGATAACAAAGCTATGAAAAATCCTTTTCAACACAGAGTTTTTAAAAGTGGGAGTGATTTTTTTAGGCCAACACGACATACCTTCTGTAGTTTCTTAGATTCAAGGTTAAATTCTTACTGCAGCTCAAAGACTCAAACTTAACAGATAATAGGTTATATGGGCTCACGACTTCCAAAGGAGCAAGGCTAAATGTGCTGTCAGTTTCACCAAAAGCACAAAGTGGCATTATGCTGATGTGGCAGGGAAGTGGTGCAACACAATACCCGATCTGAATGCCTCTTCCCACAGCACCTCGCAGCCATTTGACTCCAAGGCACTCTGCAATGTGAATCTGGAAATCAACCCTTCCTTCCAGCAGCTCCAGCGGATCAATGATCATCTCGTCCTCCCCGAAAAGTCTGCCAACAGAAAGGAACAGCTCAGTGTAAGTGACCCAGGTCATCGATCAACACCAAACGGGGTGATAACAGAAAGGAAGGGGATACTGGGGTTAGAAAGGAGAGCTGCTGTTATGTGACATGAACATGTGGATAATTATCCCTTAGTAGCAAACAAAATGCCAGGTTTATGTGACAGCTGGTGTGCTGTGTTGTTGGTTCTTTTTTAATCCCCCTGCAGATCTCCAAGATAGCAATGTAACCTTCATTATCAGATGTCATGATACACAAAACAGCAGTGCTTGAAAAAGAAAAGAAGCCCAGAAGGACAATATGGACACAAGAACCATTCAAAACAGAGGAGGACTAACCCAAATGTATTTTGTCATATAATTATTTCCTCCCTCAAGTGAAGGAGCTTCAGTGTTGACCGTAATGCACCTGAACTAAAAGCAACTCAGTGTGATATGCTAGCTTGCACATTTCCAGGTGTAAAGGAAGGGCATAAGGACAAGGTGCTGGCATATCAACCTTACTGCAGACATTGCAGAAGGACTATCTGGCTCTGGCCATCCTGTGAGATGCCAGATCCATCTGGGAACAGGGACACAGCTGTCAGGCAGCAGGGCTGAGACTGTCAGAAACTCAGTTCCTGGGATCCTCCAGAGCAATTCAGCAAAGTCAGAAATTTCTACTGACTGCCCATCATATTATCTAATGAATCTGGAGCTGATCTGCACTCACTTAGACCAGTGAGATCTGTCTCCCTCTTCCACATTGTGCTCATCATTTCCAGCTTTTATTCCCAGTTAAGCATTTCAGCAGGTGGACTTCCCAAGTTCCCTTAACAAGGAACGACCAACAGACTTCCGGACAGAGGCTGCGGATGGTTACCTCCCATCACTGAAGCACGGAAACAGGTTTATCAGAACGACAGCCTCTTCCAGTCCCTCAGAGTTGAGCAGCTCAGCCCGTTCCTCCAGCCTCATGCGGTACGCCAGCGCCTGCAGCCAAACATGTGCAGATCCCACATGGACAGCTTCCACCGGGTCCCAGAAGGGATCACTGTCCTGATTCACAGCTGGGTTCTCCCCTTCCAGAAAGCGCTGGTAAAGCTCCTCCATTAGGAACTTCCTGTTAATGAACTTGGCCTTCGACCATACCCACACCTGTGAATGAAGTGACTCAGTCACGGACACAGACAACAGCAAGGCACCCCTCCACCTATTTATGTATGACCAATGTCATACATGACCTATGTATCACCAAGCTACCTCGAAGTTCATATAAACACAGCAGAATGGAGGAGATTTTTGTTACAGACGTGTACGGAACTTTCACTCACAATAAAAAAGTGTGGGGCTTAAGACTGCTCCAAGGAGAGATCATAGATTGTGTAGAATGGAGATTTCAGAGATTTATTAGAATACAACTACCTCTCATTTTCCTTTCAGCCCAACCAGTATTGCTCATTAATTTGTTTCTTCTGCATTAAGATAATTTTCACTTGGTCTTATTTTCCTTTGCTTCCAGCTTAAATATTATTCGCTCTTACAACTACTACTGAAAATCTAAATAAATCACTCTGTGTGGATTTAGGCTCCTCCTGGTTCCATCACTATGTTTTTAAAGAACACAATAAGAGCATGGCCTCTATGACCTAAGCTTGGTAGAGGCTAATTTTATGCAAGAACAACTGGAAATGCTTTCACAAGAAAGCAACAGCATTACACATTGCAGCTTTGATGGTTTGAAAGATCAATGGACATTGATGATGGCAAAATGAGGATAAGTTACATTATCAAATATTCTTGTAAGCTGACAATTCACGAATTAGAATGTGTAATCAATTATGAGTGTGCTATTAAATATGTGAAGTGAAAATATAAAATTGCTTTTCTTTGTCCATCAGTGGAGAAAAACCTCTTGTTTTAGAACAGACTAATAAAGCTCCCTCCTCCAATATTTAAAAGGTAAAGCATGGTTGCTAAGCAGCCAATGATCAGCTGCAGTTGAGCAGCAGAGCTGAAGGGGTTTCAATGACAAGGATGCGACCTGGTGCTCACCAGTGGCCACAGAGACCCAAGATAAGTGAGATCGTGGCAGTGAGTGCCTTCACTGTGAGGTTCTCCAACAAGTTCTCCCTGCCCTGGTCCGTGTCAAATGTGCCTGTTTCGCTCCAACAGGAGCACCCCCTGTTGAGAAGTTCGGCAACAGAGAGTTTGAAGGTGGCCAAGCGTACACAGAAATGCCAGGGCAGATCAGCCATTTAGGAGCAGAATTAATACACCTCAGGCATCTCCTGTACATAATACAAGCTACCCAGGAGAATGGCTGTCCCATGAGCAAGCAGTACATCGGTTCCTTCTGAGAAGGAAATAGATCCAGCAATGGCTTGGGAAGAGAGCAATTCATGCATGGTGGTACAGAAAATGGGCATCAAAGAGTGGGAGAGTAGAAGAGCAAAGCTCCATTAGGGCACAGCACAGTACTGCAAGGATTCCACAAGAATGAGCATGCAGCACACATATTCTTTATCTTCTCTTTAAGCCGTTTCTTAGCACATCAGGCTGACTTGTTCTGCCTTCTTACCTGCTGTGTAGTTTCATGTGTCACTTTTACTGTTATTTCCTTTTGTAGGTCATGGCCTCTGGAGTCTGATAAGGCCAGATTTTTCACCTTCAATTCAAATTTGAGGTCCTATTAATTAAAAAAAGTTTACTCAGCACATTCATACCCAAGACACCTTCAGTTACGCAAGTTAGCAATATTTTCATTTAAAAGCAATACCAGAGATTTACATGATCCTACTTAAAGAAGAAATTCTCACCACAAAATTTCTGCAGTGCTTGGATTTGACATCCCTGCTATTTCAAATGTTTGAAATCCATTCGGAATGAGGCTTCCTTTACCTCCCCCACTGACGTAGTACTGACAAAGCACTCTGCCATGAGGTTGCACAGAGAAAGCAGAATCTTCATCCTAATCATTGTATTCCCATTTTTCTTCAGGAAACTTCTCCAGAAGCTACATAGTTAGTTTAAATGCTCCGAAGTTATTATTGTCCATTTAGATTGTCCTTGGATCTATCTCATTATTCCAAAGTTACGAACAAGCATGAGGAGGAATTCTCCCTTCTTGGACCTCTTGTTCTCTAAAAAGTACAGAATCTGCCGCTGTTTGCATATTTATACAGCACAGTGGCCCTGAAACACTGCTGGCAGCCTGCACTCCCAGATTCACATTTACCCCATGTCTACTCTCTGCCCATGAGATGGTGAGGGAGATTGGGAAAGCAAAAGAATGGAGCAAGTGGAAGCCCAAAAGCAAAGGGAGATGCTCTTACAATTCTTCCTATTCATGCTCAGTAATGTGCAAAACAAGTATGACCCACAGAAGCCAGGGAGGAGCCCTTCTCACCTTCCTCAGCTCCTGGCTCATCTGATTCACCTCCTCCACCAGTGGCATCAACTTGATGTAGTCATGAAATACAGCCAGGACGCTGGGATCTGCTCTGTCCTGTCCACCGCTCACAGTGCCTTCAAGAGGACATGAACAGCAGAGGTGAGGAGGCTGCCAACCCCTGCAGGTAGCTTTAGAGGGGCACTTGTTCTCAGCCAGAAAGCAATGAGAAGCCCCTTGTCAATGCCACTGCCCTTCCCCAAGCTGGACATCCAGCAACCAGCCTGCTCACGTCCCATAGGGAGAGGGGCAGTGCAAGAGCTCACTTCCAGAATCAGACTAAAAAGCTGATTACAGAATCATTAGAGTTGGAAAGACCACTGAGATTATCTAGTCCAACCACCAACCCATCCCTATGATGCCCTCTAACCCATGTCTCTCTGTGCCCCACAGTTCTTGAACACCTCCAGAGATGGTGACTCCATTACCTCCCCTGGTAAGCCTGTTCCAGTGCCTCACCACTCTAAGAAGTTTCTCCTAATATCCAACCTGAACTGGAACAACTTCAGGCCTCTTGTCCATCATTTTATCTAGGAGAAGAGGCTGACCCCCATCTCACTGCAACCTCCCTTCAGGCATTTGTAGAGAGCAATAAAGTCTCCTCTGAGCTTCCTCTTCTCCAGACTGAACATGCCCAGTTTCCTCAGCCGTTCCCCAAAAGCCTTGTGCACCAAACCGTCTGCAGCCTCACTGCTCTGGGCACACTCCAGGGATCCTATTAGAAAGTGGGCTTCAGGCAGAGGATTTTGCTGCAGGTATATTTGGAGAACTGGCTCAGCCCAGACTGAACACCTACAGCTTTGGTGACACAGCTGAACATGAGGCACAAGATTCCCTCAGAACAGCTGGTTACACCCAGGTGCTCAGATAAGCATTCACTGCACCCCTCACTGTGCGAGTGAGAGCAATGCCATGGAGCATCAGGCATCTTAACTAAGTCCTCTGTGTGCCCTCAGCTCTCCCAGAGCTACTCATCACAGGCACTGCGTTGCATCTCAGACAAATATCTGGAGGCAGCAGCATGATTATGCCGACTGCTCTCTGGTGCTGAACAACTACTGCATGCTTCTGTGGGGATGGAGTAACTAAGAGAGAAATCTGAGAGCCACTTAATAACTAACTCAAAATGGTTGCGCAGATTGGTACACAATTACAAACAACACACAGCCCCAGTTTCTTTAAGAATGATAAGTACCTGAATGCGGAATATCTACAGTAAATACTCTCTGGATGTTAAGATTGTCTATTTCATATTTACAAATCAAACATTTTACTGGACTAAAAATATTAAAATGGCTTGCAGGAAAGTCTCATTCTGAGACAAAGGGCAAATGCACACATTACTGTTTAGGAACACAACAGTATAAACAAGTAACAGCTACTAGACAAGCCTTCATGAAACAACATTCAAACTTGTAAAAGAAACTTAAACAAAATACATTTCTCTTTCTATTGTAAGCAGTAGATAGGTATCAAGCAATTAGCGTGACTCATGTCTGCTTCCATGCAAAGCAATGCACAGTCTCCAGCCCACAGCAAGAACAGTGTGTGAGGTGCAGAAGGACAAGGCAGATTTGGAAGATGTCTGCACATGATCCAAGGTGATGAAACGTGAGTCCCCCCAGAATAATGTCACCCCATGCACAAGCAGTGATGCTTACCGAGTTTATCCACACCGAAACCTTCCGCTGCTGCCAACTCAGATTGAAAGAAATCGTAGTCATATCTGCTCAGGTCCTCCTCTGTTCTTTGTGCAGGTGGTCCGACATAGAGGTAAGCGCTGTTTGATCCCAAAATAACACGATCCTGAAAGGTTTAGACAAAGGATGCCCCAAAGTCAGGGATACAACATGTCAAGTGTCACCGCATTCAGTGGTCAGTAGTGGATTTCTCCTGTGAAAGAAGAACAGACTACACCTTCACCAAAGTACAGTAAGAGTTATTATTTCCACAAAGTCCTCTGGCAAGGACTGATTAACTACACCTTTGTTTGAGATGAGCATGGACCCAGCTAAGATTCATTTGATGTCTGTTGATTCAGGTCTGTCGTGTTCACCGTGTAGATATGTGCACGTGATTTTGGGCTAATGATTAAAAACAAGAAATTGCTTGAGACTTCCACAAGAAAGGCACAGAAGTTATCTGCATCTGTACCAAAAAAGTCATTCTGAAGCTGAACAAAGACTCTGATGTCCTTCAGAGCAAGACTGCTTCATTGGACTGATTTTAAATGAATAAGTAAACAAAATTTACCTTCCCTTGGATTCTGCTGGAAGACACAGTGCTCATTCTAAACCTTTGGTTTGGATTTGTGTTTTTTTCCCTTCGGAGTTTTATATTCAAAGAAGATACTCACTGAGTGCTGCAATTCTGTTTCCCCTGTGATGGTCACTCCATTCACAACAACCTTGCACTTATCCCGTGGCACCAGGGTAACTCTGCCATCAGCATTTGTAAACGTTGCATGTTTGTCCAAAATGCTGAAAGATGTTAAATTTTCTTGTGATTCACTTCTTGTTTTCAATTTGAGAACCATCATAGAACACTAAATCATAATTTCAAAGATGATACATTTGGGCTGCCACTCAAGAGGCAGAGGGGCTTTGTTCTAAGTGCCCATTTGGCTTCACATCTTTGCCATTACAAAAATGGCAGTTCCTAGAAACATAAGAAGCTCATTAGCCATATGCTACAGCCTTTCACTTTCCATAAAAAGTTCAAAATAATCATGTCCCATGTTTATGCAGTTTTTATTTTATTTAAGAAAATGTAATAAAAATAAAAATTAAAGAACTCCAAAAAGCAAGAGGATCACTATAGCAAATTTCTTGTTTTCTATTCATTTGTGTACTTACCCCAAACCTCTTAGGATTATAGCATTTGAGGCTGATTGACCAACATCACAAGTACCTTAAAAAAAAAAAAAAAAAAAAGAGGCATTTTCCAATATAAATTGTATGCAGTTTACACACCAATATGTAAAGAGTGTTGAAGTTTTTGCATTCCTTTTTACCTTTTCTTCTTTGCATCAATTGAAGAGCTATGCCTTTCACTCTAGTGTTACTACTTGAATATGACAATATAGTCAGTTATTCTCTCTTTAGAGACAAGACTCGATCATGAGAAACAAAAAGGATTCACTCCATGTGGCCTCTGGGTCAATGCATAAAAATAATTACAAATGTATCTGGGAGCCTTCAGTAACTCCTGGGGTACACTACCAGCAAATGATGGAGAAGCACATCCAGACTAAATACCCCATGTGCAACAGAGTACCAGCTCCACAAATATCATATCTTATTTCTTTTAACTGTAGCCCTAAGTCAGGGGAAAAACCAGCAAATAACAGCCTACACAGGAGTGGATGCTCAGGCAATAAGGAGGAAGGCAGGAGGAACGTGGTTAGTGTTGGATCATTGGCTTGCAAAATGAAGGCTCATATTTTCAAATTAACATTCTTAGGGGAAGAAGTGGACAACATCCAACAGACTTGGATGTTATGACTTACATTTCTATTGTAAATGACTTATTTCTCTAGTGCATCATAGCATTTTTTGCAATAGAAACACTTCTCACAGTAAAATTCCTCAGCTTGCTCAGATCTCCAAAGGAGCACATACTTAATAGTGAAAAAAGCTGCTAAGAGCTTAAGAAATAAAGAAAATAATCCTGACTCAAACAGTTGAATTTCCTAGTGTGACTAGTTTGTTATGTCAGAGTGGAAGCACAGAAAACACTATTCATATGTTGACTTCAGGACTTTAAAAAACATTTACCATCCTGAATGAAATGCTTGAGAACCCATGAAAGCTGAGGATCTTCATTGATATTCAGGAGATATGGGAACTTCTCCATCATCCACCTCTCCTGTGCAAGAATTGAGAAATATATAATTTCAGTGGGTGAATCTGAAAGCTTGAAATAACAGCTAATGTTACACGTAGAGGTCCAGTTTTGGGTGTTTTGGTTTTTGCTTTTTTTTGTGTGTGTGGTTTTTTGCTTTTTTTTTTTTTTTAACAAGAAAAATCACCATACAGCAGCTTACTTGAGAACATTCCTCCCCTCCCCCAAATATAAATGTCAAACACTGAAGAGGATTGCATTCTGATACATATTCATAGCCTCCAAGTTATATTATAAACTGGCTTTGAAGGGAAAGTCTTCGGTTCTTTTTGTCGAGGACTTTGAAATGACACAAATCAGAGTTAACTTGACATAGCTCAGTGCATTCACAGACACATTTTATTTAAGTAATGATTCCTTAAAACTGCAAACTAAAAGTCAGAAGCTATAATGTACAACTGGTGGTAGAAGCAGACAGACTACTCTGTTATCTTAACTCACGCAAAATTCAATATGGTATTGTGGGGCCACAACCAAGGACTAAATTATCATCAGTTTTCCCAAGCTAAAAAGAAGGTTGTGTTGGGGCATTGCTGGCAGAGAAGTGTATGAACTTATCCGAAGCACGTGGACAAATCTTAAAGATTACAAGACAGGAAAAAACATCAAACTAAAAAGACTGGAGTTTAAGGCATCTGGAACCATGATGCTGGGACACTGGCCTGCATCATAGCAGAGTACTGCTGCTCCCACTCCTGCCGGGCCTCTTCCAGCTGAGCCTCCCATGTCATCTGTGTGCTCCGTGGCCGCCCCTCACTCTCAGCCAGCAGTTGCAGCTCTGCTGAAGAGAAACAGCTTGAACCTAGGTGTCTCAGGTGAAACCTCATCAAAAGAACTTGCAGATACCAGTCGATTGCATGTTTCCATCTCTTCTCTTAGCTCTGATGTTTGTCTATTCTCACCTTGCTATAATCCCTAAAGCTGAAATACTTTCCACTCCCACCTGTTGCTGTTGTGTCCTTATTTAGACTTGTTTGAGGCTTTCACCTTGAGCAAACCATCAACACCTGATAAGGGGTCTGACTGTGAGCAACGGCATGTTCCTGCACCAGGGATGCAAATGAAAGCAGGGACTCTTTCTCAAAGGCAGAGCTAACATTTTTTTAAATTATTTTTTTTAAAGCAGCATCTGTTTTGATAATGTCTGGGGGGAAAAAAACAGCCCATATCACAGCTGTCAACTGCTGCTTACAATCAAGAGGCAGAAATACAACGGTGCTGTAAGGCTGTCTAAACAAAGCAGAGGGTGAACTGAGGGTGCAAGCCCTTTGTGGGGCTGCTCATCTAGGACAAGGTGTTTGGTAGGTGCCATTCTCAAGTGCTAAGTCTCAGGGACACAGAGTCCTAATCAGAGAGAGGAGGGCTGCTACCAGCACACATCCTCCTTCAGGGTTAATGCAGGCCTCCAACAGTTTGTGTCCTCTTCTCTTCCCACATCTCAGCTTGTGATTTTGAACTACTTGGAATGGTACAGCGGGGTCAGCATTTTATAAATGCTTGGACTGCCTCTGCCCCTCTGATTCATAGAATCATAGAATCAAAGGTTGGAAAGGACCTACAAGATCATCTAAGTCCAAGCATCCTCCCATTACCCTTGCTACCACAAGCCACTATACCATATCTCATAGTTCCTCATACAAACACCAACTGATAAAATGACATCAATTTTTAAGAAATTCACCTGTGGACCTATGTCAGCTTACTTCCCACCGTACTGCTTCCAACATCACAGGCTACCAAAAAGGTCTACTAGCGTTTTGGGAACTCAAAATCTATTCGTTACCTGTAGCTGTATTTATGCTGAAATACATACGTGCTTCATCAGATATTGCTCTCCCTGCACTCCCAAGCTCAGCCACTCTGGACAATAGTTTGTTATTTTCAGCTTTCAGCTCTCTTATCAGCTTTTTGGTAGGGCTTGCATTTACCACTGCTTTGTTCCTGATCTTTTTTGCCCTTTTCAATATGAAAACACATAAAAGACAAAACAAAAACAAAACCACAGTCTCAGCAAGGGACAAGATTTTTTTGCAAACATAGCTTTTTTTTCCTCCCTCTTTTGTTATTTTCCCTGTTTAGAAATATCTCATGCAGCTCTGGAACTTTACAAGCTAAAAAGAATCTGATGGAAAATTTGTCCCTGGGCTGAAAGCATCTGACATGCTCTCTCCTTACTGCTACAGCAATCACAGAGCTACCACTCTGGTTTTGCTCCTGCCAGCCCAGTACAATCCTTCCCTTCTCCATCTAACCCCATCATGCACACGAGAAAGCAATTCAGCTGCTTGCAGAACTGAAGTGGCACTGGGAATAATAAATCTCCCACTCCTGACACCTGCTGGCAGGCAGACTGCTGTGGGAGCAAGATCTCTGAGCTGCAGACAAAGCCCAACTGAAAACATTGCAAAGAGAGATTTCCAGTCCTGAGTCTGAGAAAGGAAAGGAGGAGAACAGGAACCATCTACTTCAGAAGAGAGACTCAGGGAAACAAATAGTTTCCTTTGTCATACAATTCAGTTTTTTAAAAATGTGTTATTCATGAATAAGAATGAAAAATAATCTCCTAAAATGCTGCTCTAGGTTATTCACAGATTCACTCCTCCACCATTCTGAGCCGTTGATCAATTAGAATTGGTACCTTCTGTCATTTTGCCCAACCATCTGACTGCAATTTGCACCAAGACCAGAGAGGAAAACATTATAGAAGTGCACCTTTCAGCGTATCTTAAGGTTGACAAAGTTTCTTCATAGCAGATGTCTGCTGGACTCAAGGCTGCAATCTGCAAGCATACAAAAGTATTTACTGCCCTTAGATTTTGAATGATGTTTAAGTAATTACAAATAATTCCAAAAATCAGAAAAAGATTCACATGGGAAAATATACCGCTAAGTCCTGAAACATAGACGGAGAGTCCTAGAAATCTATCTGAAAATGTACTCTCTAACATTTTTGCCAGAAATGAGAAGGCAAGATGAGAAAATATAGGTGGTTTAAAAAAAAAAAAAAAAAAAAAAAAACAAGTAACTAAGGTGTCAAAATCCTACTGCCTGCAGCTCAACTCAACAATCTCAGAAATACTTCAATAGTTCCTGTACAAGTTACAGTTGTAGAATGTCCTCAAATCTGTTCAAATCATCATCACTAAACTAAGAAAGGTAGTATTACAAGGAACTCAAACTCTTTTATGACTACAAGCATATAAAGCCAACGTGTTCACACATGCAAATTTTCTATTAATGTTTTCCTATCATTTCAGGGTACTTTAATATATACATGTATATATATATTCCTTCAAAGATGCTGGAGTACACAATTCACTTGAGACAAAGCAAAGATTCTATGGAGATTTCATCCTACTTAGGAATGCAACATCTGGTCCACAATACAAACAATGATCTCAGAAATTGGGAAAAAAATATTGAATAGAGTCAATTTACCATGATTGTCCTGCTGTTCCCCCCAAGAGCAGATTGCAAGAGTTTAGTCAGCACTGAGTCTCTGTATGGGATATGCAGCACTTTCTTTCCTGTTGCTACCTCAGCCAGAGCACTACAGGAAAATAAAGGGTTGAACAAAAAGGGATGAACAACAGAAGTGTACATATAAAGGCAATTTTGGGAAATAAAAGACAGCTAGATCAGATACTGCAGCAGATGCATTATGGAAACTAAAAAAAAAGCCACAACAACTCTCATTCATACATAACTTCAGTAATTTATTGTTAAGAATTTCATTACTAAAAGAACTGCTCTGAATGGCTCAGTTCAGAGTTTCAGAAGAGCCTGGACATATGGCTCACTGAGCAGTGGTCCTGTCAGGCTGCTTCACCTCTGCCACTGCCTAGAAAACACTCACAGGGCATGAAGCCTGGAAAAACAACAAAGTAAATTGAGAAATATTTTTGTTTCCATGTGCTTATCATTAAGTACTTCTATCCACACGGCAAGGAAGATCTCAATGGAGAGACAGGTTGTTTCATACATAGAAATTTGTTTTCTACTTCACAGACAGGGATATTAAAAAATAATGACTACCTGATGACATTCCCTAATGTAGTTAGGCTTAGATTTACACGTGTTCCTTCCTTCAATCTGTCTTTTTCAGATCCTGATGATTTTTGCCTTTCACTTCCTGCCAGGTCCACCAGATTGATAACTGACTGTTTAGTGATAGCTTCATCTAGGAAAATCTGTTAAAACACATCATCAACACATAAGGAAAGGTCACCAAATCAGTGCTTCAGATACCATCAAATTACAGAAAAGGATACCCTGTGCAGATTCTCAGAGCATTGTGATGTTTTATTTACCAACACTGGCACACTCCAGAGCAGCAGTGATGAACTGCGTGTGTCAAAACTGCAAACAGTCATGGCCAGCCCAGCAACCTGGGGAGAGGAAACTGACACATACTCACCCACTTGCTCTGTGGTGGCAGAGGTAAGAAACACAGAGGAAGCAGTGCCTTCACGCTACCTGTTTGAATTGGATCGTGATAACCATGTGGGATCGACTGCTGGAGGCATTCATGGTGGTTGTAGCTGTTGTTCTCATCTTATTCCCCTGATCCATTAACCTCTCAATCTGTGCGTAATTATCACAAGGCACCAGCTTCAAACCATCCACATAAAAACCTTGCTGCTGGTCTTCTCTAATCTTCAGCCCTCCAGGCTTCCTAGTCTTAGACAGCAAATCTATTACCTGTGGAGAGAGATTTATAGTTAAAATATTCTACATTAATTATTCTACATTATTCTACATATAGTTAAAATATTCTTATTTTCTAAAATAAGAAAATATTTCTCCTAGTAAAGATAGAATAATTAAAAAAAAGACAGGATACAGCTGGCCACGTGGTAGCTGTTTTAGCTTCACCACATCTAGAAACTCATTCCCAAAGAGTTCCACTTTGCAGGAAAGTTTAATCTATATTGCAAGCTCATAACTGGAGACTTAAGATGTCTGCAAAATTATTTAAGTAGTTGTTATGAGAAGTTTAAAAAAGCTTATTCGATGGACTGTTTGTTTTCCTGTGTTTTCATTTTTTCCCTCTCTTTCTTGTCCACTGCATCAAATCTGACTGAAATTGGCCAGATGTCCCTAAACTAATGAGAATGGTTCAGGGGAAAAAGTTTCACAAACAAGTGGCAAAAATGCATAACTCTTAGAAGGAAAGCTACAAATGCAATCCTCTGAGACATACATCATCTTCAAAACAACCTCCTTCCCAACAGGTTACACATTTGCAATTGCTAACATCTCCTATGCCTGCCAGTACAAGAAGATAACATGAAGAGAGAAAGGAAAACAACGTAAATAAAAATGACATCTCTTTAATCACTTTTTTTTTACTTCAAAAAGAAGCCAAATACATAAAGGAGAAAAGAAGTGGTGTGCAGAGCAGCCAGGGATGCTGCTCGCAAGGGGCTGTGGTGGCAGCTAAGGCCTTCTCCCTAATTCATTGCTGGCTTTGCTGCACAGATTCCCGTTGAACTGCCACTGTATGGAGAAATGTGACCCCCCCCCTCCCAAGGCTCCTACAGAGGACAGTGCTGTATCATGAACCCAATTTTGGTCTGAGATATACCCAGTGTACCTCTCACTGTCCCATTCCAGTAGCTGGAAAGCAACATAACTTATGAACCTGAGAAGACCCGCTACCAGACCCTCATGTAGCTCAACAGCAAAAAGATGCTGCTGGGCCCAGATACTGCCCACATGCATGAGTCATCATGCCCAGTAGGGTCATGTAAGGAGAACAAAAAGTACACAGAAAATACATAAATGTACATAGAAAACTAAGATTTGCTAGTACCGGAACTGAGTGAGATCATTACCTGTTCATTATAGATTTCCAGCATGCTGAAAGTTATCTGTTAGGATAAGAAGTAATAAAAAGGTAAAATGCATTTGAAAAAAATCCTTGGAATGGATTTATTTGTCCCACTGTAAAAATAACGCAGGTTACCTGGATCAAAACCTCCCTTCATCCCAACCCATTGTGTCATTTTAATTCAATCAACTATTTATCAGATATGTAACGTTTGATCGCAACTGTGCTTCCTCTCCAGTATTTTTTAATTTATCTTTGCATATATAATCCTTGTTGCTTAGGTAGGCTATATCACAAGATGCATTTCAATAAGCATCCAGATAAGAATAGTTAAGATCAAACATTAATTTTTGACAGAACTATTAGCTGGCAAGGTGACAGGGAGCTTCTAGGAAGTCTAGCAGAGGGCCAGAAAGATGATGAAGGGCCTGGAGCATCGCCCTTATGAGGAAAGGCTGAGAGACCTAGGACTGTTCAGTCTGGTGAAGACTGAGTGGATCTTATTATTGTTTACAAATATCTAAAGGGCACATGTCAAGTGGATGGTGCCAGGCTCTTCTCAGTGATGTCCAGTGACAAGAAAAGGGACAACAGGCAAAAACTGTAACACAGGATGTTTCATACAAACAGAAGGAAAAACTTCTTTACTTTGAGGGTAGAAGAGCACTGAAACAGGCTGCCCAGAGAAGCTGTAAAGTCTCCTTCTTTGGAAATATCCAAGACTCACGCGGACGTACAAGCTACTGTACAAGTTACTGTAGGGAACTGCTTTAGCAAGGCGGTTGGACTTGGTGATCTTCAGAGGTCCCTCTGATCCGTATGATTCTGTGAACTTCTCATTCAACATTTGTATAGGATTCGCTAAAGTTTGCACAGCAATTTGTTCTATATAGCCACTGTTTCTAATTTTACTAATCTGAATTTAAAGTCTTCAGAGTATAGTCTGGAAAGATCTTGGAAATAAATTGCAATTTGTGCTAATCTCACCTGGTACTGCCTGTTCTTTTCCTGACTTTGGATTGCTTTGCAGAGCTCTTCACACACACTGGGAACCAGTCCTCTGTTTGCACCATACCCAATCATGGAGTAGCTCTTCCCAGAGCCGGTCTGGCCATATGCTAGAAGAGTTGCATTGTAACCCTGCCAGGCACTTTGCAGCACTCCTTGGCCAAGATCACGAAAGACTTCTCTCTAAAAAATGATCAAATACACCACCATCAAAGGTGAACAGGAAAATCCACACACAAGTGCTGCTATCTGGTAGGAGGGTCCCCACTCAGAGTTTAAACAAATGGTCAGTATTTACCAACACACCTAAGAATAGAGTTCCAGGATAAAAGAAATGTAATTAAAAAGTAGATAATGCTTCAAAATGATAAATAGAGAGATAGCAATCAAATGCATTCATAAAATGACAGAACATCCCAAGATGGAAAGAACCCACAAGGATCATTTTGTTCAACTCTCGAGTGCTCCACTCCAGACCGCCAAAAATGCAAACATTACGTCTGCCCTGGGCAGCTCGTTCTGTGCAATCCACCCTCTGGTGCAGAACCTGCTCCTAGCCCCCACCTATTCCTCCCCTGACACAGCTCCATGCTGTTCCCTTTGGCCCTGTCACTGTCACCAGAGCCCTGTGAGGAGCTGCAGCTGCCATGAGGCCTCCCTTCAGCTCCCCTGCTCTGGACTGAGAAAACCCAGAGGCCTCAGCTGCTCCTCACACAGCCTGCCCTACAGACCCTTTCACCACCTTCATAGCCCTCCTCTGGTTACTTTCTGATAGTTATACATCCTTCTTACATTGTGGTAGCCAAACCTGCACAAAGTGCTCAGCTGGAACGTTAATCGCAACGAAAATAAAGAAAACAAAATAACAAAGATAAACAGCTGGTTTACAATTGTGTATTACTTACGTCTGCTGTTAGATGGCTCCTTGAATAAAATCTTACCTGGCCTGCATAACTGTTAGATCCCGCTGAGATGAGCATGCCGTTCTCATCCTTTAGAAAGCCACTGTGAGACCAATAGGCCAGGTCAAACGTGAAGGTTTTCACGTGCCCTGGGTTCCTAGGATCATAGATGCTTGTACTGTTGGAGTCCATAGAAATCACACACCTACTTCCTGCGTCCTTCTCTCTCTGTATCAAAATCATAATTGCTGTGTCAAAATATAAGCAGTCATCCACTAACGTCATGTTTTAGTCTGGATTTAGTGGCTGTCAAAAGCAAAACAGATTTGCTTCAATTCTCCCTCATGTTACAACTTGAATACTTTCACCACCTTAAGCTGCTTTTTTAATGAAAAAACCTCATATTTCTGTCAATTATCTGAGATAACTCAGTGAAACATCTTTACTAAAGCACGCCCTGACAAATGCCTTTTTGACAACAGCCTGTAGCTCTATTCACGCTCAAAATCCTTTCATGAATATCTCCTACTGTTTCCTGACCACAGAATCTGCCATTGCATCTTTTTCATTCTGCTTTCTGAGAGGTGAGAATATGACACTGAAGAAGTCAGTGTTCTACTGGAATTTTCTTTGGGGTCAAGGCCCCAAGGGTACAGACGCATAATTTAGCTTCAGCTTTTAGCTGCCATTTTAGCAGGAGTCTCAGCCATTTTTTCAGCAAACAAAAACAATCCTTAAGCAATGTACTTTCGTGTAGAAAATCTTTGTAATTGCTCTTCTCAGTGATAAGCAGCACAGAATAATCCCCTGGAAATTTTGATCTTGTTTACAGTAAGGCCTGCTGTGCAATTTCTTAGGAAGAATGCTTCTCTACCCCCCTAGGGCCTTCTGCTTACATCCACCGCAATGCTGTACCACAGCTTTCTCTTACGGGCTTCCCAAGGCCCTCTGGAACCACAGCCACTACTTCCCTGAGATAGACTAGCAGACATCTGCAATTCTGTCAGATGACTCCATTGCTCACCAACACACAAGAAGCCACCTTGTCTTTTTAAAACTGCAGTCTCCTCCGTTCCTCCTCATTGTTCAAAAAAACATATGGCACATACACTGCATATTCCTCTCCATTACATGTGACATTATCTCTTCCACTCTTGCCTTCACATACTGATTGCGAGTCAGCACAAAATAAACCAAGTAACATCTATTGTCTCCATTTCATTATACTGCAGTCTTTATCCTGTTAGGCTCTTTGTTTTCTCAGACTGTTAGAAAAAAATGATTTAAAAAACCCCAGAGCTTGCTTTTGCTTCCATTTCTCTCTGTGTCCTTCAACATTCTCAAATCTCATTCATTATTATGCCAACACTCCCATTCTTTTTAAACTCCCTGGGCAATCTGGGAGTTTAAGCTTCCAAGAAATGTAAATTGAATGTAAGTAACTGAATAAAAATGGAGAAAAGCATTTTAACGTTTAAAAGGATTAAAAATCTCATGCCAATTTTCTTGTATTACCATAGCTTTCTTTTTTGTGCCGAAGCACTGCCAAGTGAGGGTAATTCAGCTGAGCTGATTATAAAATAAAAGAGGCTAAAAATTACTACAAATTATTGCTAAAATTGTGTGTTCTCATTCATTGTATTTTCATACAAAAATAGTACCTAAGTATAAGGAAGTATCACAAAATATTGCTGAACAATCTCCACCAACAAGTCAGTCAATTCTATTTGATCAGGAATCCAAGCACATTGTAGTTTTGTGCACTACACAGAGCAAATGTTCAGTTTGAAGTCTTTTCTTTCCCTGTTACAGTATTAAAGTTCAACCTTTTGCCCATTTTCTGAGCTACTCGCAGGACTTAAAATGTACATTTAAAAAATATTCTCATAACTTCCCCTCCTCATCCTCTTCAATCATATGTACATTGTAAATGAAATTTAAAAAAATATCCAGAGCAAATAATTACTAACCTGACTGAAAGGTCTCACTCGAACTGCCACTTTCACACCATCAACATTTGGCATTTTTTAAGCAGCATTCAGTCATGAATGCTTCCAAGAAGCAAAATATTAAAGTGCATGCAGCTACTCCTCTAGAATGTCCTGTTCTGAGACAGAAAAGTCATGGCCCCGAAAGAAATTTCTTTTACACGCTTAGTCTATTATTAATACATTCATTCATTATGTACAAGGTGTTAGTTAACCAATAAATTATTTCTTAAAGTAACTGTAGTAGCTTTTACTAATCGAAAAGTTTAATGTCAGGTTCCACCATTTTGTAGTCTTCAAAGTTGCATCCATATATAAATTAACATACATAAAAAATAATCCATTGTCTAAAAGACTGCACATCAAAATAGTACTTCCATGTCTACTTTTAAAAGAATAGTCTTTTTCATCTATTCCTACAAACTGAAACCTCATAGAGACATTGACTCTGTAGCCTAAGGTTGATAATGAGATCATTATTCAAAAATACGGTTTGTAATTCTGTACATTTTTGTACCTTCAGTGTTGTGATATGCAGGCTTCAAATACTGCAACATGTTTAGACAGTAACTATTTAGTAACTATTTCAAGTATAGTTGCTTTTGTATTAGTCTTACGAAAATATTTTGAAATTTATGCCAAAATTGTGTGGGCAATATCTCTCTAAATTTGATACGCTATTGTAAGCATCAACTCCTCTATACAGCTTTTTTGCTGACAACAAATTGTAAAAAATAGCAAAACATCTGAGATGTGATCTGGTTTTATAAACGAAGAGCAGCTTTCCCAAACTTTAAGACAAATACAAAAAAATATTGCACAGCATAAAATACAATTGTTTACATTTTGACTTCAATACAGTACAACTTAACCATGAACATAAAGAATTAACATTTTGTATTCGGGAACCCAATCATTTGTTCAAGGAGGTCAAACATTATCTATAAAATTTAAACTAGCATGTTTCAAATGTTTAGTTGGTACAGTAGTTCTAAACAAACTTCTTAAAAACTTTTGGCCTCACTTTTGAGCATCACAAACTCTCGTAAACCAACATTAAAATTTCTGAACAGTACAGGCTATTCAACCCACTATTCCCTCAAAAAGCTATCAGACAGTAAGCATATTGTGAAGTATACATTTTTATTTAACATTCCTAAAATAGGTTGTATTTACATATTATATAAATGTATGAAGTCTTAATATAAAATAGAAAACTGCATTGACTGAGGAAATCATACTCCATATGGAGTTACTTATTGAAGACCATTTGTTTATGAAATTTTACAATAATTTATATAAATTATCTCTTCCAAATTAGATGATTATTTTTCCTTTTTACTAGTCCACACAATTTTGATGACTTTATAAACAGTGGTGTACATTACGAACTTAAAAAACAGTTACAGCATCTTCCGGCGCACAACTGGCTTTGGAAAATTAGACAGTCTTTTTTTGTTCTTTCGTACAGTCTTCTCTGTCGCATCTGTGGTTTCTTTCTGTTTGCTTCTCATTTCATCCACTGGAGTTCCAAAAGGAGAAATGAAATTTATTTCCACTGGTGGAGGTGACCAAGAAACTTCTTTTCTCGTGGTTCTGCGAACACAAAAAGAATCAAATTGACTTTATAACCAACAATATTAAGTAGAGAAAAGTGGAATTACAAAATAAATACCAACAAATTAATATCTACCTTGTAGATTGGATTAAAGCAGAATTAGTACATTAAAAAGCTTACTCTTGCTTCCAATCCTTACCACATTTCTTCATGTTATCTCAGTCACTACTCTTAAGAGAGAGATTTTAGTGACTTTGCAGACTTTTAAAAGGTTAAGTGTCTTCAAATACATTGTTTCCAAAAGAAAGCAAAAAAACAGGTCCAGAACCAAGACATCCTCTTTACTCACTATCTGGCCCCTTCCTGCTTTATATGAGGAACTAAAGACCTTAAGGGTATATGATTTTCAAGATGGAACCAGATGACATAAGAGGACACCGAGTAACCACAGGGAGTAACTTTTTACCACTGTCCATCCCCTTTTTCTATTACCATTGGAACACAAAATCATTAAGTGGGGAAAAATGCGCTTATCAGACCAGCAAGCTGGACTGGCTCTTAAAGTGAGGGCTGAGCTACACAGCCAAATGAGGCAGATGAAATTAGGGGGCTAACAGCTGAATCACTACCATAATAAAAGTGTTCAAAAAAAAATTATGTACTTGCTTGCTTTCTTCACTTTTGATCTTGCAGGTCTACCTCTCTTCAATTTTTGTTTTCCCACAGATTCTATGGATTTGATTTCCTCCTCTTCTTTAGTTGGAAGCTCCTGCATTAAAGCAACAAGAATGTTCTTAACATGAATGCATTCTTACACTCGTAAAGAATACAAATGAAGGTTTACTGAAGTTATTATAAAGTTACAATTTATAAAGGCATTACAGTTTTTCTCTGAAAAAATAAACTTCCCATATCAAATTATGAAATCATCCTAAAATTCAGAAATAAACAAGTAACACACCACAGTGACCTAAAGTCACTGTGCCCTGTTTTAAAGCTAAGGCAACATTTATTAGTTCTTAACCTACATAGATACAAAATCAATTTTTGTAGCTAGTTTTCACACAACGACAAACTTGTTTAGCTTATTAAAGTTCTCTTTTTAGGTACATAAGGGCTGCTGCAGAAGTAATGTTTCCAGTTTTATTATGCTGGCCCACTACATCAGAGACAGCTGTTGATGGCATGTCAGTAGAGGGTGAACCTTCCCACCAATATTCCATTCCATTTTGTTGCCATGTGACAGATGGCAGCAAAGGGACAGTCTGACAGAATGACATCTGACATGACAGCGTGTATGAAGTGGAAAGCGTGTCACCAAATTCCTCCATGTGGAAAAAATGGCACCCACTGACATTCATCAAAGCTTGCTGAATGTTTCCAGACATCTAACGGTGGATAGAAGCACAGTGAAACAGTGGGTGGCACATTTCAACAGTGACGACAGCAGGTCACCTCTGCTGGTGCAAATTTCTGCAAGCATGGCACACAGGCTCTTACTCATTGCTGGCAGTAATGCATAGCTAACAGTGGTGACTATGATGACAAACAATATTCTGGAGCTGTGAATTTGCTCTAAGAAACGGAACAATAACACTATTTGAATCTGTTGTAGTTTCCATGGCAATAAGTAGGAGGCATTACTTTCAGAGCATCCTACTTGTTTCCAAGGAAAAAGGCAAGGCGTTGAGAATAAAATTTGAAAGAGACACAGAGCAAAGTAAAAGATGTGACACAACTACAGTTTTTACTCACCGGTTCTTCCACAGTGTGGGGAGTACTAGACACATTTTTCCTCCTTGACCTCAAAAGAGGAGGTGAAAAGACAAATTGAGAAGACAAGTCTGGGTCTAAATCCTGCACATGTTGGTCTGCTTTTCCAGCTAAAACAACAATGAATTGTTAACATGCATGTACACTATAAAGGAAAGAGATGTTAAATTACACCTGAAAATCAACAGTACAATAGCTTCCTAAAATAAAGGGCCCAATCAAGTTTACAAACATACGCTGTCAATGTACTATTCCATTTTAACTGCCTCTTTGGATCTGTTATTTTATAGTGAATGGCGGAACAAGAATAAATGAGTCATCATCCAGAAGGTATTTTGGTCCAGGCTGGATGGGGCTTTGAACAACCTGGTCTGGAAAGGGGTGCCCCTGCATATAGTAGGGGAGTTGGAACTAGATGACCTTAAAGGTCCCTTCCAACGCAAACCATTCCATGAATTTATGATTCTAACATTTCAAAACAAAATTATTCATGCAGTCTAATATAAAAGGAGAAGGCTCAGAGGTGACCTGATAGCGGCCCTTTGGTATTTAAAGGGAAGCTACAAGAAGGAAAGGGACAGTCTCTTTAACAGAGTCTGTGGTGATAAGACAAGAGGAAATGGTTTTGAACTTAGAGAGTAGATTTATGTTGGATATAAGGAAAAAGTCTTCTACAGTGAAGGTGGTGAGGCACTGGAACAGTCTGCCCAGAGATGCGGTGGATGCCTTGTTCCAGCAGACACTCAAGACCAGGCTAGACCAGGCTCTTAGCAACCTGATGTAGCTGTAGGTGTGCCTGTTCATCACAGGACTAGATGGCCTTTAGAGGTCCCTCCCTGCTCCAAGGATTCTACGATAAAGAACTCACTAGCAAAGTATATTTCATCAATTTCAGAAAGTTGGCTAGCCTGTAACAAGATGCACTCATTCTAACTTAAAAACTGAATATAGTTTAGAAGTGTGTCTTCTCTATTTCTCCACCGTGGGGGAAAGGGATGGAAATAACATTAACTGACAACCTCCACTGCTCTTATTTGACAGAAATTAAGCTAATGACAAGAAATTCAAATTAGACTTCACGCCACTCAAAACTCAGCCTCAACTCACTTCTTTCCACCACATCTAGCTAGCCAGACTAGTTCACAGAGTACAGATTCAGGTAGGAAGATTATTTTCCTCTTTCCAAATTTTTACTTTTGTACAGTTACTTGTCGTACAACTAAAAGCTGCACTTGTAATTATGATGTATGTTGTTTACAACTGAGCAATACACTATATTTTACACATGAACATGTTACACCTACCTTTGAATTTCTTTGTCAGTTTTGTGAGAGGAGGAGAGAAAAAAAAGGATTCATTTTCCTCAACAGGCAGATCCTGATGCATGCTGGTTTTACGAGATCTGTTTCTTCTAACACGATCTGTTACAGTTCTTGACGTCTCATCATATCCTGATGTGTTTATGTCTGTAAGCAGCAAAGGACTGCCATCAGTTCCTTCAGGGAAGACTTCTTCCCTCGTGTTCTCCTCCAATATTGATGGTAATTGTCTCTTTCTGCCCCGAAACCCTGACCTTATTGTAGTCCTGGGTGTGGTCGACTGCTCATTTGGCTGCTCAGGCGTTTTTTCAATAGTATCTGTTCTTTCTGGTTTAGCTTGTGCAACTTTCCTTGTTCTTCTCCTAGGAGTATCAAGGATTTCCACTTCCCCACCTGAAGGCAGGTCTTCCCGAACAGAGACAGATTCCACATCTGCAGAGAGATTCTGTGCTGCCTTTCTAGCACTTCTTCTGGGAGTGATAGGAAGTTTCAACTCTGTTTGAG